TTTAAAGAGGATAACTTACGCAGGTCCAAGTCGTGGTAGATAAGTGACTTCAAAGTGGAGGTGATCACAGACAGGCTCTGGAGCAAGCAGAGGCTGAGTGGCTTGGAAGGTTGCACACGTTTCGGATATTGCAAAGACTGCCGGATGGAAGACCTCACTGGAGACCAAGGTTTCTTGAAGCACCCGCTCTCTCCTGAGCGCTCTGACAACACCCAGACTAGGGAGCTGCCCTCAATCCCATGATGCTTTTCACTACTCTGTTCAGTAGCCCTACACTAATGCAGCTGCCCTGCTAGAGTATTTTATTGTTTAACAGTCTCCTCAATTATCCCATCTTCAATATACATTGAGCTGGAAAGGTACACATATTCCTGGCTTTAGTGCAAAACAAATAAAAGGCAACCACAAAGTTCATACCCTAAAATATTTTCAAAGTCATTGGGAGCACTGGGGCCAATACAAAGGACTAGCTGGAAACCCGCTGCTGATGGAGTCAGCGTGCCTTCAGGGAGGATGGGCAGCGCAGGCGCCCTGGCAGAATAGCCCCAGGCCAAAGCATTTGCTCCTGACTAGGAGCATTCTTACGGGCCTGGGCTGAAGGAAAAGGCTTGCTTCTTTCACATTCCAGACAAGAATTATGCTAGCCAGGGAGAAAAGATACCATTTGGCTGCCCAGACCCTGCAACGGAGTGCCCCTTGGGAGGCATCGCAAAGGATGTTAAGATCAGTGTAAGAGCAGCGCCTGGCATGCCCCTGGGCCCCGTGCTGGGTGCTGCAGGACCTGCTACCTTCCCGTCCTACTCAGATGTGGGGTCTGGCCACCTCATAGCTGTGTAGACGCAGCCTAGGGGCTCACCCAAGCAGACACTGTGCGGCTTTGTGGTGGGAAGCTGCTCGATCCCAGAGGACCGCCAGTCCTCAGCTCCTCCAAGTGCCTGCCGCTGCTCCCACAGGGCCTCCTGGGACACAGCTTCTTCCTTCACATTCTCACAGATAGATTTTTGATTTTTTTTTAAAGTTAGCAAATTCACACGTACAAACACAATACAAAATAATTATGCTTTGCGAAGAAATCCCAGGATATATTCCTACAACAGCGTCCTTTCATTGTATATCATAGGCGATGTGGGGGATTCGAGGTTAAAGTTGAGCCCTCATTTGGCAGCAGTGTCCACAGTGCACCTGTGAGAGCTTTGTTGCTGCGAGGCTTTACCACTGGCCACCTCGAAATCTTGTCCCCGGGCTGGGTCAACCACACCTTTCACTTGTCATTGAACCAGAGGCAGTACTTCCTTATCATGTTCCACATTCAACTTGAATTATTTCATTCTTACTTACTCTTTCATTTTTCCTCTGTTGAGGCCATTTTTTCACACCTGCATTTTAAGGCAGGGGAGAATAAGCGTTTGCCTGGCAAGCACAAGGACCTGAGTTCAATCCCCGGTTCTGCCAAAAAACAAAACCCTGCATTTTAGAGGGATGCACTGTGGCATGTGCTGCTAAGTTCCCCATGGGGCTCTCCAGAGTAGCCACTACCATCTGTCTTTGTGTGGCTGACACTTGCTCAGTACTCCCTGCCAGGCGCTACAATACTTTGCAGCTTTACCTCTCATATCACACATGATGTTTCATTGTCATTACAAAGGCAGAAATTGAGGCTCAGCAATATCTGATAAACGCTGAGCAAACTCAGACCCAAACCTCCGCCTGTCTCCTCCTGAGCGCCAGCTCTGGGCCGTGCTGCTACGCCGCCTGCGCATCATCCGCCCATTGCTCGGGATCTGGGAGTAGCTCTTTGACCACCAGCTCTAAGCTGGGTCCCCAACTCCTCACCACACTTAGGGAGCCAAAGCACTGTAGCAGCAAGGCTATGTTTCTCTCCACTCCTCCTGAGTTGTTGTTCTTTCAGAGCCACTCATCATCCACCCTCCCCTACCCCCAGCCAAGAGTCCCTGGTTTCAGGGAAGGGAAGCATCCATATTTAGGACGTGTTTTTACCTTCCCCAAGCATTTGCATCTGCACAGAAGTCAGCCACCAACTCCAGGAAACAAAAGCCATCTCTAAATGGTTAAGTTCAGTTTCATTCCAGTAACCCAAATTTGTAATCCACAAGGACAAGGTTACTTATTTTCTATTCCCAGAGTTGCCTTCCCAGTCATGGCCCTTCCAAGGGTAGGATTTGGGAGTTAAGGGCGAGGCGACAGACATCTCATGGCCGTCCTGACTCCTCTATGCCCGTCCCGGAGCTTGTTTCAACTTTCTTCTAAGATCACCGATTAAACCAGGAGACTTTCAGACTCCGATTCCACTCACTTGCAATTACCTCTGTAGCCCTCTTCGTGTGAACCATGACTGATTTGAGAAGGCTTACCAGTTTTAAAACAAAAGATCACACTTTCTTTGGCAAAAGAAAAAATGCATCCCTTCGTCCAAAGACAAATGACTTCCTGGTGATTCACTTCACTTCCCCGAGGCGTGAGAAGGGAGGCGAGGGCTCTCCCTCACCGCTCCTGTCCATAGGGGTGGTACGAAAGTTCAACTCATGCATCAGGTGCTGAACAGCACTCATCTGTTAGAATCAAATGGAGCTGCACCTCATCTACTCCTCCAGCCACCTGTCTCCTTCCCAGGAGGGCTTTGGAAGGTGTGTAATACACACATCCCTGCCCCACTGAGATCATGTTAATGTTCGAGAAAATGCTGTCATTTAACATTGCTGTGAACTTGCCCCTTGGTGAAAAAGAGAGGTAGAGATAGTAGAGATAGATGGATAGACAAAGAGAGAGAGAGAGAGAGAGAGAGAGAGAGAGAGAGAGAGAGAGAATTTTTTCTTCATATTCAAATGTATTCCCAGGGTAAAACATTCCCACTTCTTAAAGCTTTGCTTCAAAACAGAAGTATTACCTTCTATGTTTCCATGCAGAGAACTGGTAGAACATTAATGCATATTCTACCACTAAATATTCACTCAAATCTTGTAAGTGCTTCTATCCTGTTGACAAGGCCTCCTGTATGTTTGGGATTAAAGGGAAACTGAGACAGGAAAGCTGGCCCTTGAAGAACGAGGCTCTGAGAGGGTAGTACCATCATGAGATGAGCGAGGCCCCTCTGCAGCCTGTATTTACTCCATTGGGAACTCACTAGGGAACTTTTCAGTATGAACCAAGCTCACCTTAAAACATGAATACATGCATGAGGTCTACTGTGGCCTACTGGGGTGCAAGATAATAAAGAATAGGGCCCTGATGCCATTTAAAGCCAATTAAGTGGCCTCCTGGGAGACAAGTACCAAAGACCACAGGACGGGGCCAACAGAGAGCCAACTACAAACTCCAATTCTCCAAGCTGTGGAGATAAAGCCAGCAAACAACTCTCGTTTGTGCCAGAGAATGAACCAATCTCGCCATGACTGGAGCATAGCGTGTACGTCCCCACCCCCAGGCGTGGAGACAGCTAGCGGGATGGAGGCTGGGAAGGAAAGAGTAGAGATGACATGAGGTCTGTAAATTATTTGCACTTAACAGCAAGGCTTGGCTGGTCCCAGGCGCCTTCCTCCCCACAGTCAGGTTGTGGCCAGATGGTTTCCCCCGCGGGCCATCCGACTAGAAATATAGATACGAGCTGTTCTGTCCACTTACGGTAAGCAACAGTAACCCTCGAGCTCAGCCTCAAGGGCAAACAAGATGCTGGAAGAAGGGAACACAATCTTAGGAAGAAACATCGCTATTTCTACACCACAAAAAGATAGCAATGGATTTGCCAATCTGGGTGCCAGGTGTTGATTCTATTCATTTGTTCTTTAATTTTTCTAGCTCTGAACTTCATCCAATATGCAACAAATCTTTTTTAAGGCAAGAAGTCGATGCTATGACTCAGACTGGGGCCCAGAGAGGCCCTCCGGCAGAAGATGATGAACCTAGTTACGGTATGGGCTCTGACCCGATGTATGGTGAATTTGATTATGATTTATGCAAAGAAGTGGTTGGTGTGACCTGCTCCCCTGAACCAGATGCATTCAACCCATGTGAAGATATAATGGGGCACAACATCCTCAGGGTCTTGATATGGTTCATTAGCATCCTGGCTGTCTCCGGGAACGTTGCTGTGCTGGTGGTCCTCACCACCAGCCAGTACAAACTCACAGTTCCCCGGTTCCTTATGTGCAACCTAGCCTTTGCCGACCTTTGCATTGGAATCTACCTGTTGCTCATAGCATCGGTTGATGTCCACACCAAAACCCAGTACCACAACTACGCCATCGACTGGCAAACCGGGGCAGGCTGCACTGCTGCTGGCTTCTTCACTGTCTTTGCCAGTGAGCTCTCAGTCTACACTCTAACAGCCATCACCCTGGAGAGGTGGCACACCATCACCCACGCCATGCAGCTGGACTGCAAGGTGCAGCTACGCCACGCGGCCAGCATCATGGTGATGGGCTGGGTCTTCGCTTCCGCAGCCGCCCTTTTTCCCATCTTCGGCATCAGCAGCTACATGAAGGTGAGCATCTGCCTGCCCATGGATATCGACAGCCCGCTGTCACAGCTGTATGTCGTGTTCCTGCTCGTGCTCAATGTTCTGGCCTTTGTGGTTATCTGCGGCTGCTATACACACATCTACCTGACCGTGAGGAACCCCAACATCGTGTCCTCCGCCAGCGACACCAGGATTGCCAAGCGCATGGCCACGCTCATCTTCACCGACTTCCTCTGCATGGCGCCCATTTCCTTCTTTGCCATTTCTGCCTCCCTCAAGGTGCCCCTCATCACCGTGTCCAAGGCAAAGATTCTGCTGGTCCTGTTCTACCCCATCAACTCCTGTGCCAACCCTTTCCTCTACGCCATCTTTACCAAAAACTTTCGCAGGGACTTCTTCATTCTTCTCAGTAAGTTTGGCTGCTATGAAGTGCAAGCCCAGATTTACAGGACCGAAACCTCATCCACTGCTCACAGCTCCCACCCAAGGAGTAGCCACTGCTCTCCAGCTTCCAGAGTCACCAGTGGCTCAAGTTACATACTTGTCCCGCTAAGCCATTTAGCTCAGAACTAAAACATGATGTCAAAGGTATGTGCATATGAATAGAAACTAAGCCTTTCCTTTAAAGACCGCCGCAGGACAGCCGTTCGGCGCACTTCATGCCTCTGAGTCTTCCTGGCTACCTGTAAGGTAAATCCTTCAGGGACCATCAATCTCAGGTGATGCATTAGGAAACTCAATTTTATTGTAATAATAATAATTGCAATACGATCCTGCATCATACTTGTTTTAGGCTTTGTAATATGCAGTGTTTTACTCAGATAATCTTAGCTGATCCTCATGGAAGTTTTATTAAATAGGCAGGGAAGAGATCATACTTGGTATTTCATGAATGAAGAAACCAAAACTGAACATGAGTGGTGGCATGCTTAAAATCATCCAGCTTGTGAGAGGCAGAGCCAGGCTGAGGTATCCTAACTCCAGGAGGACTGCCAAGAACACCACCACGGCAAGCTTTCATTCAACATTTACTGAGCCCATGGTGGCATTACAATGGGTCACCCTGGGTAGACCAGCCAGCCGACCTTTCCCAGAATGCCCTTTGCTATGTGTTTTTAGTCAGAGTAGACCACAGAGAAAGTTCCTGGGAAGATAAGAAGTCAGAAAAAAGTGACTGCCATTTTGTAGCTCAACATGAGTGGTACTTCAGGTCATGAATTTGATTCTTTCCAAGATTCTGGTTGCAAACCAAGTGCAAAGAGAACCGATCAAACTGAATGGTGGGGTTCAATGTTGACCTCAGGGGGAAATTCATTCAGTTCCCACCCAGTTTGGCTATGGCCAGAATCACAGAGGAAACTGAGCTGGTGAACTGAGCTACCACTGCGTTCTGCTGCTGATCGGCTTTGGCTTATTGCTCTGAAGCAGAGCTTGGGTCTGCAATTACGTCATCCTCCCTGATCCTCTCTCAGGTTTTCTGACTCACATGCTGTGTGTGTGTGTGTGTGTGTGTGTGTGTGTGTGTGTGTTTTAGTTTCTTGGTAAAGAGTCAGATTTCTACAGGCTACTTTTGTCACCAAGATCAGAGCAACAGGAACAGAAAGTGCTTCCTTTGTCTTCGTGGGGGAGAGGAGGAGGATTTGCGCCACACTGCCAGTGTGCCAAGGTCTTTCCTGCCAATGCCTGAGCACACTCGGCTTCAGCATCAGAGAGGAAACAACTTCCTTACAGAGATCTCTCAGCCAGCCCCCAACCATGCATGCCAGTCCCCCATCATGAATATTTACCAGCCCTGTGCATCTACATACATTCCTGTGTCCACATGACTCTGCTTCTCTGGTTGAATCCTAAATTACAGCAGATATCCCTATTAGTTGACATGCATGAGTATTTTAATGTTAAGGATACCACAGCTTGGGAGTTACACAGAGCTAGAAGTTTCTTCAGATTCCATAATCAGCCAGGACCCAACCTCGCCATCTCAGCATCTTCCTATACAAATTAGACTTGCTTATGCACTAAATGTTAGCCTCCTCACAAGAAGGAGATAAGAAAATGGCTGTGAAGCCCCAGTTCTACAGCTGGCTTGGTGCATGTGCACTTACTTCTCTCCTCCCAAGCCAGTGCCTGGACTAGAAACCATTTCTCCTGACATTCAGTCTAGAACTCCTTCCACTGCTGCATATTGCTTCTGATAAATAACCACACTACCCACATCTACTCCTATAAACGACCTTGTCCAAATAATTGAATCATAAATATGCACCATAAATCCCACCAAGCACTGTGCCTTGGCCAGCCCACAAAGCTCTGCATCTCCCGTCTGAGTACCCTCTTTCAAAGTCAAAATCAGTCCTTCCTCCCCTGTGCTCAGGCAAACATTTCAGACATTGGTTCCAGATCCATTAATGAGGAAGTCCTTGCATAGCCAGAAGCAAAGCAATCGTCTCTGCCCATCTTAACTGGCACCACCTCCATGCACTACGAACACCAAATGCAAAACTAATCTTGCTTGTAAATAGTTTAGAGCATGACCCAAAGAAAGAAAGCCACCCTAAAAACTAGTCTAGGGTCTTGTTGTCTAGTACTGTGCTGTTGGCACAGGTGGCAGCCAAGCTCTTGACATGGGGACAGCCTGAACTGAGATGTGACGCAAGTGTAAATACACTGGATTTTAAAGTAATGAATACAAAAAAAGACTGGAAGATAGCTCAATATTTCTTATGTTGGTTCCATACCATAATAATATTGCTTGGCTATATTGTGACAAGTATATAGCACGTATACAATGAGATCCAACTATTTCTTTTTCCATATTCATATGGCTTCTAGAACAATGAACACTGCAGATGTGACTTGCATTTGTGGATGGCATTACATCTGCGATGGAGCGCACTGACCTAAAGTTCCCTGACAATAAAGGATTTGCAACCAGCGTTTTCCTCCCCCATTTGCTGCACCACTGGGCCATCCCAGCTCCATCTGCAGTCATTCTTCTTTCTTATTTGTGGCCAGAGGCAAAGAATTTCAGAATTTGGACTCAAAACCAAGTGGAAGCTAAATTATAGATATGATCGAGTAGTAATTATCTCCCAACATGGCTGCTAATGACACAGCGGTTTAAGGGATTGTGCCTCTGATGGGCAAGAATATGTTCAGAGAGAAGCACACGCCCAGGGGCTCTGAAGGCAGCCCCCCCAGCACCCCGTCACTAGGCCGCTTCCTGCTAAGAAATGGCACTTTTCTTAAATAAGCAAACATATCTTTGCAGAGCTAAATTCAGTTTTCTTAAATGCTTTAGATGAGTCTCAAGGGACAGAAATATGTCCTACACTTCTATGTTCTGGGATACTTCCTCCATTCCCTGTAGTGGAATGAAGATCACTGGAATCCAACATATCAACTCCTCCTCCCTAATAGTGGTTGTCTAGGCAACACATCCAAAGCTGTCCCTCTGGGGGTGGGGGATCAGCCCCCAGAGAAGTGACCCAAATGGACACACACACACACACACACACACACACACACACACACCCCAAAGAAAACTCCAAAGCAGGGCTGAAGGAGTAACTCGGCGGGAGAGTACTGTCATAGCATGTAGAAAGCCCTTGCGTTCAATCCCTAGCACTGCAAAAAGCCTTTCAAAATACTATAAGAAATAATGTTTCTAAGGCTTTTTAATCTTTTGTTTCAATTCTCAAGCACCATTAGAAGAACTAATAACCCTCAAAGATTTCTTGAAGTAGCCATACCTCAGACATGGAGCAGTTTAATATGACCAGCTAGTTCAACCCAGGCACTGATCTCTCAGAAAAGACTGGCCAAAACGTGCGCGGGGGGATCCCGGTGCCCACACAGTAAGCTCTTCCCCTCTGGTTTCCTCCTGCCTGGCCTCATCCTGCACTGCTTTCATCTCTGTCTCAAAGATTTCCCAGGAAGTCCCGCTCCAGCCTTATCCTGGTGGCCTCTCCCTTGCCTCTCTCTTCTCCCTGTCGTCCTGCTATCACCTTTTAGAATCACAAGGAGCAGTCAGAGAACTTAGGATCTTTCTTGGCAGGGTCAGAACAAAGAGACAGAATGGAGGAGTCCAGAAACTCTTGGGGGCAGAGCAAGGAGACTAGGTTCGTACATGGATCTTGTCTTGCAAGGCACAGCAGTGAGGGACAAGCCTGCAGTGTTGCTTCGCCCTGGGGCCCTGTGTACTGACACAAGGCAGGCTTGAGACCTTGTTTTTGCAAGGATGGAGGATGCAATGGGGGGAGAAATCCTGCCTCGCCAATGTACTATAGCTCTTCCCACAGTGGCACTGAGCCTTATTTCATCCAATATCATAGAGCACTCATAAGAAAATCAGGAAATGATTTCTCTACATGATGACCTCAACCTTTGGGTTCATAAAGGATTTTATTTTATTAGGAAAGTTTAGAAAGGCACAAGCAAGAAAAAAGTGTTCAGTTTCTACAAAGGAAGGGAAGAAGGGAAGCTAGAGAGAGTAGATAAATATGCAGAATTTCTATTGGTTTGTTTATTAAATATACACCCTAGTCTATTATATACACTAAATAAATGGCAGCACAGAATAATGCTTAAATGTGAAGTTGTGCTTGTTGGCTTTCATCAAAAATGCTTTCAGCTACAAGAAGCAAAAGCTCCTGCAACTTGTAACTTAAACAAACATAAGCTCTACAACATCATCCTGGCTTAGACAAGAAGCGTGATGGTCTCAAGGGCCCAGTACCTTACTGTTCTTTGCTCTACTGTTATAGTCTGGGCCTAGTTGTCCCCCAAAGCTTCATGCAGTCCTGGGGCAGCTTCTAGAGCTTGTGTGGTTAATTTGGGATCCAATACTAGGATTACGGGTGTGAGTGCTGCTGGGATTGTGGGTGTGAGCACTGCACCAGGCCTGGGACACGTACCTGTATGTGATATAAGGAAGGGAGAGAAGCTTTCTGCTGCACTGCCGCTGCTCCTGCCTTTGTGCTCTTGCTGTTTTGTTGTTTTCTGAGGCATGAACTGCAGCCCTCTGGCATGTGCCATGCTGCCTTAGAGCCAGCTGAGGAAGGACTGAAGTGTCCAAAAACGGAGCTAAATAAACCTTTCCTTCCCTAATTTGGGAATGTCAGGTATTTTGTCCCAGCAATGAGACAAAAGTAGCTGAGACACCGACCTTCTTTGGAGAATCCCACATATTTTTCCCATTGTAGCAAGGCTGCTTCTGCAGTTCAGGATACCACTTGCAGCCACAATCAAATTCCGAAAGGAGAAGGGAGGTCTTTCTTTCCACTTTTTTTCCTTTCAACAGAAAGAGCATTTTTCCCTAAAGGACTCTAAGAAAGCGACCCTTCTCATCCATCATGCAAGATTGCTGCCCTCGCTGCAAGAAGGACCTCGCTGAGCCCCTGCCACTGGACTGGGCCTGCAGGAGTCAGGCAGGCTCTCCCAGCCAAGAAGGTGGAAGGAAGCTCTGGATTAAGGGACGGGGTGCACAACCTGCCTGAGTCCACCCGAATCCTCTCCTGTGGGGTGCAGCCAGTGAGACTCAAGGTAAACTGCATCATCAACATGACAGACTTCAGTGCCACCGAGGGGCTTAGCACACTGGGACTATGTCCAGGTGGGCCACAGAGGTGTGACGGGGGCCATCGTGTGGCTGTGGCCTTTCCTCCCTGGCTCGGATCTCCTGCCCTAATGTGAGCAGCTTTGCTCTGCTGTGCCTGTCTGCCGTGATGTCCCTGGCATGGAGCCAGCCAACCCTGACTAA